ATACTAAACAAGACTAAAACAAAAACTTAAATTATCATAAGGTCCTACTCCCCTCGGCATGGTGCCAAGAACGCTGAGAATTGATTTTTTCATTTCGTTGCCAAAGTATGCTTTTTAAGCACATTTTTGTACTATATCTACTTACGTGAACATACACAAAACTGTATCTTGGGAGATATAATAAACTATTTACTAGTAAGCCTACAACCAAGTATGTGAAAAATAAAAAAGCTCGAGAAAATTCATAGTTTTTATAGTATGGTCAAAATAACTGTTCTGTTGTTCGTAGAATTAATATAATGTGATCATCTTAGATTTTTTATAAAAGTACGTTTTTTTTTAATTACGATGACAAACGAGCACATAGTCCACTTGATGGTAAATAGAGGCTGTGAACCATAGGAATTTACCTCGATTATGAATCAAAACGTAGATGTGTTGTCACCCCTGAGGACTAATATAGAATGCTTCGTTATCAGTGAAAAGGCTTCTCTACGATCTCCGGTTTTCTACAGTTAGGGTTGTCACCTTTTTTTTGAACAAATATGTATAATATTTATCCTAAAATAGATGGAAAAATATAATACTTTGAGAAATTCAAGAAAAAAAGTACACATTTATTATTAGTCTTTATGTATTTTTCCATATATATTTGTTATAACCCTTTGCTTTGACCATCAATGATCTAACCATCTTACCTTCTACCTTACCTTTACAATAATTATAGGTCTAAGCAATTTCGATTCATATTGAAACGAAATACCAATTAAATGTTAATTTCATTAATACACTAGCTGTTACCAGCGGCTTCGCCCGCATGGTCACTGGGAAATGAACTATCCATTGCTTTTTGAATTGAAAGAAAACTGAGTTTTATAGATTTGTCAGAGATGCAGACATTAAAAGGAAACTAAGCAAAATTGATTCGTCAGCCTATTTAAATGTTTTGAAACGCAGCGTATAGGAAAGCATGAAAATAGCCTGTTTATTCCAAATGGATGGGATATTTTTTTAATTAAAGGAAACTGAGCATAATTATCCGTCAGGGATGCAGACTTTTGAAAAGAAACTGAGCTAAATTGATTCGTCAGAGGTGCAGTTTTCTGAATTGAAAGGAAACTGAGCCAAATAAAAGATCCGTCAGAGATGCAGCCTTTTGGTTGAAAGGAAACTGAGCTAAATAGGAAATTTTGAATTCTATTATCTAATTTTGAATTGAAAGGGAAGATCTGTGGGAATTCTGATTAACTGATTGTGGGAATTTTGGAGAAAAAACTAACCGAACACTATTTTAAGACGCTACTGTACACAATGTTATAAGTTTTTCCATTCGAGGAAAGAATGTGGAGATTCTGGGCATTTGACACACGCGAACATGCTACATACAGCTGACCATGAGAGAAGCACGGTTTAGTTGACCCCCGCTACCTGTAACGTTTGCTCTTGCGTTTTATTAATTGTCCTTGCAAAACTGAGCTTAATAGGGAACTGCAACGTTTTGAATTGAAAAGGAAGATCTGTGGGAATTATAGGGATCCGTGGTATAATAATATTTTCGCCTTTTCCTACGCCTGACAAAATTGTAGCACCGATTATGTTCCGTCCAAGATGTGTCACACGCAGCCTTGTCCCGTTACATAACCGAGGAGCATCTAAATTTCCCATTAGCATGACTGGGATGCCTAATTTTAATTGAAGCTTATGTGAGGGAACACCAGACAACTCTAGAGAATTTAGAAACTCTATGGGATATGAAGTGCTCTGTTCTGTGTCCATAACTGTGTCTACTGACAAATACTCTGTTATTTCTCCTGCTACTTTTTTTTTTTTTTTTTTTTTTTTTAATTTATTGTTCAAATTACATGAAAAATAAAAGAAATTACAAAGTATCCACTTAACTAAAACTTAAATAAGTTTATGCGAAAGTGGAGGAGATTTCGCTCGCTATGCATATACCTATATAAATAAACATTTACCTATCAGTAATTACCATCTATATAGAACTTTTTTAGAATTTGTTTACATTTTTCAAATTTCACTGGTACGATCGACTGGACTTCTTTCGGCAAACTATTGATTACATCAGGTAGTATGTATTCCCACGTTCTCATTCCGTACACGTTTGTTGTTTTTGGCAATTTATAAGTTGGTAAGTAATCCAGATTCCGCAATCCGGCTTGCCTACTGGTTTTCGTCAACGAGTTAATACTATGGTATTTGTCCAATATAATTGACATGTTAATTTTATCGAAGACCGACATAACTTTACAATATCGGAACAAACCAGAGTCATCATCCCTGTATTTAGTTTTAATATGCCTAGGCGCAATATTTTTAAGTATACTTATTTGGAGCCTATATATAGTATCCAAATACGTTCTATAGGTACGTCCGTAACTAGACAATCCATAACCTATGACAGAATCAGCCAAAGCGAGGTACAGCATACGTAGCGTGTGGAAAGGTAACTTATATTTCAAAATAGACAATTTGGCATTGATGCTTCTGAGCTTGTTAGCGACATTTTCAATATGAGGTCCCCAATGGAAGTGCTGGTCTATGATAATACCGAGGTATGTATGTTGCGGTACAGTCTGTAACTTCGGGCACGCGCAGCCGGCAACAGGCCCACGATGCAGGCACTGGTGTTCGTGCGCTGTTATACAGGATGCGTGCGAAACCTTCATGTAAGGTGAGTGAATGTGAATTATTTTTGTTTTGCTAGCATTAATCACCAGACCTGCATCATGTGCCCACTTACATAAATTGTCAAAGTTATGTTGCATTGCATACTCTGCCTCGGTGACAGCCTTATTATGAGTTTTTAAACATGTGTCGTCAGCAAATTGGTATACAGAGTCCTCCGCAAGGATGTTGATCATATCGTTTACGTACAGCAAGTACTCAGTGGGCCCGACTATGGACCCCTGGGCCGTGCCCATTACAGTTGGTCTTTTGTCGCTGAGGCAGTTACCTACGCGAACAACCGTGTTTCGATTAGTATGATAATTTTTGAACCATCCCAGCAGAGGACCCTGTATACCATTCTGTTCGAACTTACAAAATAGCTTATCATATTGTAAACAGTCAAAAGCTTTGCTGAAGTCGATGAGTGCAACAAGCACATGTTCGCGAGCGTCCAGGTGCCTGTTGACCTCATCGGTGAAAATTGATAATAATTTTGCAGTACTACGACCCTTTATGAAACCAAACTGTTTATTGTTAATAATATTATTTTTTGACAAAAATTCATTTAATTCATTACATAAATACCTTTCAACTATCTTGTCTATACTGGGTAGGATTGTAATCGGCCTATAGTTATTTATGTCACTGTAACATCCTTTTTTATGAATAGGTCTAATTATGCCAGTCTTCAATGGATCGGGATATGAGGACGTGGAAATACATAGATTTATAAGATGAGTAATAACGGGTGTTATTTCAGAGTTTATACTCTGTATGTCACTCATTCTGATGCCATCTAAACCAGGACTTTTTCTCTTATTCATGTGTTTAATTATAGCAAATACAACCCTATCAGTAACACGTCTCAGTCTCATACAGACATCAGGTACTCTTTGGTAAGTAGTATGGGGTAATAAGGGTACATTACAACTTACGCAGCTATTGTTTACATTTTCCTCAAATCCGTAAGCAAATTTATCACATAATGAACGAACATCCAACTTAAAGTGCTTCATAATTACATCATCTACAGCGTTGCATATTTTCCCACATATATTATTGATTATTTGCCATACCTTTCTACTATTTCTAAAGCTGGCGTGAACCTCTTTTCTAACTGAATTATTTCTACATTTACATATATATTTATTAGTTTTGTTTCGATATTTATTATACAATAGTCTATTTTGCTTGTTGTTTTCGTCCTGTTTCCATATACTAAATAGTTCTAGCTTTTTATTACACATATATAACATTCTACTGTTAACCCAAGTACATTCATGTCTCTTTCCTAATTTAATTTTAGTTTTAACCGTGCATTTCTTATATGCCTCACTAAAGTTGGATGTAATAAATTTTAAAACTTCACACGGACTATTTAATTTTAAAGCACACTTCCAATTTATTTTCAATAACTCCGATTTTATCATGTCGTTATCAATTTTAGTTATCAACTTAAAATTATTTTGTTTACATTGCGTGTTGTGAAGTAAAACTACGCCAGTTATGTAATGGTCAGCGATCTTATAATCGATCACTGAAGAATATACATCCCTGCAGTTACTTATACGAACAAAAATATGATCAATACAGGACTTAGTCAGACAATTATCTCTATTTTCCACACGGGTGTATTGAGTAATTGCACAATCCAGTCCAAGTGCACTCATAACATTCAAGTAATGACTTTGAATAGACGTTTTTTGCTTAATATTAATGTTCATATCGCCTAATAAAATATAGCTATATGTGCGCGAACACAAGTTAACAACACCCGATAGTTCGTCAATAAAACGGGACTTGTCCAAGTCCGGGGGTCTGTACACTGCACAAATTCCTAGTTTAAGACCGTAGTCTGAATGAATTTCACCGGTAATACACTCGAAATAAGCAGTATCGACAAGTGTTCGTGTGAATCTTAGGCTGCTATGCACATACAGTATTACACCACCTCCCTTACGATAGCGTCGTAGTTGTGAGTACATGTCATAGTCAGTCAAATGAAAAAGATTTACACAGCTATCGGATATGTTGGCTTCCGTCAATACAATAATATGTACAAGATGAGGGCTCGAAGATATTATATGTTCTAGGTGGGCAAAATTTTTAATCATGGACCTGATGTTTACATGGAGTACATTTAGGTGATTACTATTACGATAATCAACACTATTTATGAAATTGCTCCAAGTTGTATGAGTATCTTCTTGTATTGTTTGGAAACAATCATCCGTTGAAGCCATTTATAATTACATAGGTCGGTAGGTACACAAGGTAACACAGAGGTAAAACAACCGTACGTAGGACAGAGCTCAAGTGGATGCATTTTTGTCATCTTGTGACATGATTCTCAGTTTATCAATATCACTTTCTGAGTGGATTCTGATAATCTTTTCGTTCTCATTTTTGCGTGCTAGAATATGGCCATTTTTACACCACACATATTTATATATGCCAGTTTCTTTGAGAACAGATTTGGATTTCCATAGCAAATAAGCAATGTGGGATGAGAGTGACTCACGGAAATATATTTTGTTATCACCCTGTTTACCAATGTCCCTGCAGGTCTTATGGGTGTTCTTAGAGGCAAGTAACCACTGGTCTCGGTTGCCTTCACGGAGTCCGATCACGATAGCTGCTGGCTGCGGTTTCTTAGAGTTTTTTTTATTGAAGTTTTTTTTGCGGTACGCTTTAATGATGTTATTAGGATTGAGCTTAAAAGTATCACAGATTTTTGAGGTGATATCCGTTAGGTTCTCGTTTTCTTCCTCCGCGATGCCACAAATCTCAAGCTGGTTAGCAAGTTGTGCTTGCTCCAAAATCGTGATACGTTGCTCCAGTGCCCCATGTTGTACTTTTAGGTTTTTGTTTTGGTTTATGAGATTGTTGTATTGGTTCTCGAGCATCTTGACTCGTATATCATAAGACTTCATTTTTACCTCATAATCATCGAACTTATCCGAGTAGAATTGCAGAGTGGATTGCATTTGTTGCATTTCTATGTGGATCGTTTCTCGTATTTCTCGTCGGAGCTCCATGATGATATCAGCTGACACGCAGTTAGTTAACGTCTCGGTGTCATTATTTTCGTCATCCTCTGGGTCCGGTACGATGCAAGAGATGCGTTTCGGTCTTGCATTACCTACACATGAACGACATTTCCAATCCACAGAGTCTGTAGTTTGGAGCGCATTTAGTTGCTCCGTAGATATACCCGCACACGGCGCATGTAACCATTTGTTACATTTAGTGCACTGCAATCCAGGATTCTTTTTAGTTACTAACTTCGTACACTTCACACATTTCATTATAATTAAGTAACGAAGTACGTAAGCTGACTATATTGTTCAACGTAAGTAGGTACTTAGTCGTAGGAAACACGCGTATCGGTCTAGCGTCCAAACCGGTTCGCAGCGAGCGAAGGACTTCGCTTAATATATCTGAATTTATTTTGTTAACGCTCTCATTTTTTGGTGCAAGAATCGCTCTTTCACATAACCATTTGTCTTCATGCATGTTGTTCATTAAATCTGAATAAACGCTTGCAATTAATTCGGAATGACTCTGTACTACATTACAAAAATCTGTCGTCAATTTAACGCAGCCCTCAGCATCCGTTTCCAACTGCCCATCGTCAATTTTTAATAGTGTGTCAGCATAGTTTCCAGCATTGATATCATTATACAAATGCACTCTCATATTCGTAGTTAAACTGAATTTTGTCACCTTGTTCCATAAAATAGACGACTTGAGGCATGCTTTAATTTCATCTGCAGGTGTGCCCTTTTGAATGACAGGTAAAGTTTGGCGAAAGTCACCAGCCAGTAAAACCACCATTCCTCCCATTACATCGGTATTGCTGCGCAAATCCTGGAGTGTTCGATTTAGTGCTTCTACAGATTTTTTATGTGACATTGTACTTTCGTCCCACACTAAAAGTTTGCATTGTCGTAGCATTATACCTCGTGCACTATTTTTGCTAAAGTTGCAGATTCTTCCTGGACTAGATTTAGAGGGAGTTTTAAAACAGAATGTGCAGTGCGGCCCCCGCTTAGCAGCGTGGCGGCTATAGCGGAGGAAGCTACGGCCACAGCAATGTTTTTATCTTTCCGTACTTGCCCTAATAATAAATTTAACAAAAATGTCCTCCCAGTTCCTTCAGGGGCATCTAAAAAGAAAAGTGGACCATTTCCAGATTCAATTTGTCCTAATACTTTGTCAAAAACTCGTTTTTGTTCGGGAAGCAAGCGAGGTACAAATTCGGCTACTTGCTGCTGCAAAGCTGGTATATCGTAGTTTGTTAAATATATAATTTCATCACTTAGTTCATTTTCGGTTGTTCGCTGAGGGCTTATCATTCCAAAGTCGCTTAATTTTTTTGCTTACCATTGCCATTACTTTATCTTCAATTTTCCAAGTGCTCCATTATAAATGTGTTCATTGTATGTCATGTTCGCGTGTGTCTGCTGTAACCTTCGCAAAATATCTTCCGCCATGTACTCTTTATATTTGTCCCACAATTCATGTGCATTAGATAGCCCGCAAGATGATATGAGAGTTGCATAAAGATCCCTAATTTTGGCTGGTGACTGGCACTGCACAGCTTCCTCCATGGTTTCATCCCAGTGATTATCGTTTTCTAAAAGATGCAGAGCTTCACATGCTTCTCTATAAGTTGCGCATTCCTGACCGTTGACAGTGTTAAGGTCTTTATATCCTGTAGGACCCCGAACATGGTGCAGCAGCAATCGTAAACAGAAACATTCAAAATTAGTTACATGGACGGTATACACACGACCAAGGGCATCTAATGACTTTACATCGGGCCAATTTACAACAGGCGCGCCTTGAATACGGCGTTTTCACTCCTTCCTAGATGTGTTCCAAGTATAATAGCGGGGAACTTCAGAATATAACAACGTTTTTGCAAAGGGGTCGGTTTGACAAAGTTGAAAGAAGGCTGTTAGTGTAGTTTTTGGCGGTGATGCAATTCTTTCTTGGAAATTTCTTTCGGTGAAATATACACGCTCTCCATTTTCTAAGTGCACAGCAAGGTGAGTAACTGTTGGGTGCCTTTCGTGTAAAGGGAAGCCAAGGAGAAGCCACGCTGCCTCGTTACTGCTGACATAACGTCCTGCTTGAAAGGTCTGTACTTCATTAACGGGATTTGCCTCACCTTCACTCCTGAGATTAAATATTGCTTCGTCGCTTCCTTTATTTATGTACTTACAGATATACTTGATTGCACGGACAGAGCTACATGCTTCTACATTAATGTGGGCATTAAACATTTTACATAGATTGGGCGAATACGGGTCAATCCAGCTGTTATCTAAGGTTTCGAATGCTCCAGAGTGAGATTTGATTGTAAATTTCCTGCCACCATCTTCGGGAGCTCTGCGTCTGTATAAAGGGTAGCCATTGTCATTGTGCACTGTTTCTTTTAATAGCTGTTTAGGGAATTTCTTTGTACATTTTCCTTCTTTCATACATGGCGATATTGAATTTCGTGCTCCACATGGACCGTAACTTTCGGACGATGGTATCATACAATTCTTTATCTTACTCAGGATCCGGAATCTTGGCGCTTATTATGTCGTCTATTTGGCTGGGCCGCATCTTCTCTTTAAGCCATATTAGAATGTGGGCATGCGGTAATCCTCTTTTTTTGCCATTCAATTGAATACATGAAGCACTGCACCTCTCCGAAAAATTTCCCTTTGTTAATTACATACATTAATTTTTGTACTTTTAATCTAAATACTCTAGCAACTAAATCGTGTCTGTCAGTACTTTTTTGGCCCGGGATTAGCTTTTCGGTTATTTCATTCCATGTAGGATTGCAAGTAAAAGTAACAAAAAGATCAAGTCTTCCGTAAGTTCGTACATAAGCGAATGCGTCTTGTGTGTACTCATGTAGGTAACGGGGTCTGTTAACGAATGATGAGGGCAGAATTACCATTTTACCTAAATCTCTGAGGTTTACATTGGCGTCGCTAGAAACTGCATCTTGTAAATGTATATAATTCTCAACGCGCAGCTTTTTTTGATTTAAAGATATATAACGGAGACGTTCACTTTCTACCTTCACATACATGTCTACCAAAAATTGATGAAATAATTGTCTACACCGGGCTAAGAGGTTAAAATCATTTTCTTGCAACATCATATGATACGCATAAAATCCATACATGATACTTTTTTGTTCGGAGTAGGCTCCTTTGTGACCGGGTTAAGAGTGGAATTTGCAAATGATAACCCTCTTGTCCTTTGCAATAAATCAATGGGTATTGCAGAGCGTCATAAAACTTGTGTGTATCGGCTACCCGTTGCAACGTATCATCACGTGCTCGCAAGACAATGTCTCGTGAAGAAAATTGATTACCACTAATTACGGCTGCTATTTCGTTTATCAAAGGTGCATTGTAGCGCCTTTCATGCTTTCCTCGAGGGGTCCAATCTGCGTAAATGACAACTTTATAATCCTCTTCAGGTAGATTTTCTAAAACAGTTATAAATGTTTTGACTAAAATGTTACGTTCATGCAAGAATCTTTGAATTTTGAACACTGTGTCTCTCTCAACTCTCTGGATAAATTGGCAGCGACGGTCTACCTCAATTTCTTCGTCACCCATAAAATATACTTGTGAAAATTTATGCTGTTCGTTTTCAGCTGGAAAAAGTGAACCTATGATAAATTTGCTCTTGCAACGTAAATGTAGGCGAAAATCCCGGCAATATTATTTCCCGTTCAACTCCGAAGGACGTCATTTGAAAGCATGAGTTATATTTCCGGATCCTGTTTAAAAAGCGCCGTGACTCATTAGCATCATATAAAAAGAGAGTTTTCAAAGGTTCTTCTGATTCCCCAAGTAACGGAAGAGACACTTTGCCATTGGGACAGCACATGCCTGACTTTGAGCAGGTGTTTCAGTAGCTCTTAAAGTAGATTGACGCTCTGCCTGTTCAAGACGCCTTTGCTGACTTTGAGTAGGTGTTTCAGTAGCTCTTAAAGTAGTGTTACGAGCTTGAGGTTCGTGACAATAAAAATTGCCGATAAAATTACCTAAATTAACACTTTAATTTATTTTACACAAATTAAAACTTAAAACACTAATAATTAAACACACTAATTCACTTTACTCCGCTCCGAAGCTTCGCTTGTCTCGCCAAATCCAATACTGCCCCGATCGCATCTTGCAGCGCCTATATATATAAATTAGCAATGAAGCATTCGGAATATTCAAGTAAATGCGCGCAAAGCGATGAGTGTTCGAGTGCAGATTTTCTAGAAGCTTAGTTCTTCAGTTTGAGACTAGATGGCGCTGTCGATTGAAAGATTTGTGATGTCATTTTCTGCAAAGCTCCCCTCGCTCTCGTTCCTGACACTAGATGGCGCTAGTGTATGACGTTGACTTATTCACGCAACACTGCCCCCTCCTAAGACATGCTCGTCCCGAGCATTATCGGTCCCATAATAACGCGCCAAGCGATCCACATGGACGATCCTAGGAGTACCTCTTGCGCCTTTCAGTAACGGCTCCGCAATGTCAAGGGATGTCCTATCCCGTGGTGCACCAACATTGTACAATTTCGATGCTCCTCTACTCCGTGTCTGAGGTCCCCTCACAGCCGCACAACTTGTACATGTACGACACCAATCCTCGACATCGTCACGATAATGGACCCAGTAAAACTGTTCTCGAACCTTCAGTAAAGTTCGTTTAACTCCCAGATGGACTCTTGAACGACCATTATGGCACAGCTGTAGAACATTCGGCACTTTAGCTTTAGGGACAACCATTTGCAAACGACAGCTGTCTCCTCGACCATTGTCCCATTTACGGCACAGGACTCCATCCTGAAGCAGCAAGCTGTCCCATTGGGCCCAAAAGCTTTTCGTGGTTGAACTCATCGCTGAGACGTCCCTCCACTTAGGCTTGGTAGCACGGGCCTTCATCCATCCCAGAACCGGCTTGATGTCCGGATCTTCCTGCTGTGCATGTCGTAGGCTGTCCTTCCACCCGTTGCTGAGGTGGTCTGTCCTGAGCATCCTCACGGATACCACTTCCTTACCTTGCCTACTACAATGGTTGCAATCTTCAGGACAAGGTCTTCTTGACAATGCATCTGCGTTGCCGTGAGATTTCCCGCTGCAGTGTCTGATAGTAAAGTCGTATTCCTGCTGCTGCTGGGCGGTGCTGTTAGCCGCACTTCCTTTTTGAGACCGTTCACCTTCCCTTCCTAGGGTGTGCTTAGGGCAGCTGGACCGAAGATGGCCCCTTTCCCCACAGCCATAGCACCTAGGGCTGTATCCTTTATTGTGGTCGCGAACCGTAACTGCTGCAACCTCCCTAGCGTGAGGTGAACGATGATCCTGTCGCCGCCAGGCAGTGCCGTTAGCTGCACTACCCTCCTGATATCGTTCACTTTCCCTTTCTGCGGTTCGCTTAGGGCAGCTGAATCGAAGGTGGCCCTTTTCCCCACAGCCATAGCACCTAGGGCTGTATCCTTTGTTGCGGTCGCGAATTGTAGCTGCTGCAACCTCCCTGACGCGATGGGAACGGTGATCCTGCCGCACGGCTTCCACCTCCAGTGCATGGGCCAAGGCGTCCTTAAGCGTCTCGTGATGCCCGAGGCTCACAGCAGCTCTGACTTCCAGGTCCCGGATGCCGTCGATGAATGTCTGCACCAGGTTCCCTTCAATGAGCGCAGGTACAGACCGGTATGCTTTTCGCACCAGCTTCTCCACCTCTAGAGCCCCCTGCTGCAGGTTTTCGTTGATGCGCTGCACGCGATCTTTAAGCTGCGCACGAAAGACGTGTTCCAGGTGAGCGTCGCCATATCTCGCCTCCAATGCCTCAAGGAGTTGCTCAAAAGTCACTTCCTCACCGAGAGCTTCCAAAACTGTTAAGGCCTGGTCGCACAGGCCTAGTGTGAGAGCAGTCATGGCCTGACTTTTATTCCAGCCGTTCGCCTTCATAACAGCCTCGAATTGGATTTTGTAGGCTGACCAGGAAGAAGTCCCGTCGAACGGTGGCACCTTGAATCCACGTAGCGAAGGTGTTGTAGCTACTACGGGAGCTGTTGTTCCATCCCCAAGTTTGAGGTCGTCCAGCGTTTTCTTCACGTCAGCCATTACGTTGTCAACCCGATTATTTACTTGGTCGATTCGGGTTTCGGCCTCCGACAGGCGGTTGTCATGTTGAGCAACCTTATCCTTCACCTCCCGTATCTCTTTTCCGAAGATAGCGTGAAGGTCCTTCATGAGGAGCATCTGCTCTTCCTTATCGCGTTGGAGTTGCTCTTCTAAACGACGGGCCTGTTCCTCCTGCCGGCGGGCCTGTTCCTCCTGCCGGCGGTCCTGTTCCTCCTGCCGGCGGGCCTGTTCCTCCTGCCGGCGGGCCTGTTCCTCCTGTCCGCCCCGCAGCTGTTCTTCCAACCGACGGACCTGTTCCTCCTGTCGGCGGGCCTGTTCATCCTGTCCGCCCCGCAGCTGTTCTTCCAACCGACGGACCTGCTCTTCCTGTCAGCGGGCCTGTTCCTGCAACATCACCATCAGAGCACCTAAGTCGGGTGCTGCAGATGTAGGAGCTACCGACGGGCCTGCAGCCGGTGGCTGGCCCTCCGACGTCTGCGGCGTTGCACCACCAAATCTTCGTTGGTCCGTCTCCTGCTGGCGTTGACTTCGGGTACGGACACCCTCCGTTTCCTCCTTAGGTAAAATCGGCATGATTTTATCCCACTTCTGACACCAATTGTTACGAGCTTGAGGTTCGTGACAATAAAAATTGCCGATAAAATTACCTAAATTAACACTTTAATTTACTTTACACAAATTAAAACTTAAAACACTAATAATTAAACACACTAATTCACTTTACTCCGCTCCGAAGCTTCGCTTGTCTCGCCAAATATAATACTGCCCCGATCGCGTCTTGCAGCGCCTATATATACAAATTAGCAATGAAGCATCCGGAATATTCAAGTAAATGCGAGCAAAGCGACGAGTGTTCGAGTGTAGATTTTCTAGAAGCTTAGTTCTTCAGTTTGAGACTAGATGGCGCTGTCGATTGAAAGATTTGTGATGTCATTTTCTGCAAAGCTCCCCTCGCTCTCGTTCCTGACACTAGATGGCGCTAGTGTATGACGTAGACTTATTCACGCAACAGTAGCTTGACGCTCTGCCTGTTCAAGACGCCTTCGCTGACTTTGAGAAGGTGTTTCAGAAGCTCTTAAAGTAGCTTGACTCTCTGCCTGTACAAGACGCCTTTCCTGACTTTGAGAAGGTGTTTCGGAAGCTCTTAAAGCAGCCTGATGCTCTGTCTGTTCAAGACGCCTTTGCTGACGTTGAGAAGGAGTCTCAAATGCTCTAAAAGCAGCCTGACGCTTTGCTTGTTCTTGCCTTCTCAGTTCAGTATCTTCTAAAGATTCTAGCGATCGAGCTAATCTTTTCGCTTGTCTTTGAGAAGATACTCTTGAAAGGCTGGGCTTACGTTTGCGAGGCATTATGAATTAACAAAAAAACTATTTATAAAAAACGTTAAAATGCCTAAAAAGGAATTAAATTTATTTTTAAATTTTTTTAAGAGCAAATCCAAAATATCTAAAAGGAATAAATATTCCTTTTAAATATTTTTTAAAATCAAAACAACAAAACCAATTCAAGACACAACACGAATCCGAAAACGATAGGCAAAAAAAATCGAATCAACTTAAACCAAATCACAAAACAAATCGCAGAAAACCGAAATCGAAAGCAGTAGTCAATATAAATATAACCAACGAAAAAAGAAGTAAGTGTATAGGTACCGTATACACCCTATTCCTTTGAAATATTTTTAAACAACCTAAAACAACGAAAACCAATTCACGTTTCTAAATAAACAAAATCCAAAATCTAAGCCAGAGTCTAAATATGTATAAAGGAATACCAACCAAATCAACAAAACCGATCCAAGAAAATACACAAATCCGAAAATGAAAGCCAATATAAATCCATTCAACCTTAACCAAATTACAAAGCAAATAACAAACAACCGAAATCGAAAGCAGGTAGTCGAATAAGCTACGAAATAGAAACAATTTAAGCGTATAGGTACCGTATGCACTATAAGTTGACGCACGGCTCAACGGCGGGAGTTAAGTACATGTCAGGAAACATTTCGTTACCGCGTTTTGAAAACCTAGTAACAACATCTAGTGGAATCAATTTAAACTATGTATACGTTACTTAATAAGAACTCTCAAAAAATATTTTTCTTATAATTTTGCACAATTTTTCTTATTGTAATACCGATTCATTCATAACTACATATAAGAACTGTATTCATTTCCGTTCAACAAATATTACTAAGGCTTGTTAATAAGGCTTACTAAGAACTGTTTCTACCACAGTTAAGTAATAGTTAAGGGTGAATGCGTGACAGGTGGTGATAGTATTTCTGATCCATACTTATAATCACGCCTGTAACCCTTGAGGGGTAGGCAGAGCATCAACGGATTACTTAATATTGTCTGCGAGGTTATCGCTTATTCTGTGAATTACAATGCACCAAAATGTTTGAAGAAAATCAGCTGGTGAATTTTATGTTTTTTATCGCTCTGTTCCCAGTCCTGCGTGGAAAAATACAGATCCATACATTTTTTATCTTAATTTTGTAAAAAGACATAATAATCCAGATATTCTGACCTTCTGTGTTCGTCCATCGTACCGTCATCCGTCTTGTAGAATCACGATGGCGCCACCTAGCTGCATTTAATTTTGCAATATATTCGATTTTCCCACGGGAATGATATGTTTTTCCGCGGAAAAAAGTAGCCTATGTCACTCTACAGCCACCGAACCATACCCATACAAAAAAATCATGCCATGCTGACGCTCTGTTGCGACGTGAAAGAAGGACAAACAAACAAACAAACAAACACACTTTCGCATTTATAATATTAGTATGGATGCTCGTTTTCTTTCTTCATTCAAATTTACATTCATGATGGAAAAATAATTTCCACAACATAATTGTCCCAGACACAGTTCACAGTTAATATAAAAAAGTGCGACAGTTGAATTAGGGATAAAAATGTAGTATTCTCGTACTATATTATTTTTCTATAATATATAGTACAATTGACTGAAATATAGTACGAGTGGCAACCCTATCTATAGTCATCATAATATGAAACAGCAGCATATTTTACGATGGTATTATTTGGACACGTGTCCATACCAGTTGAAGCCAACCCATTCGTGCTGCAACCATAACACAGCTGCAGTTTAGCTTTTATACTGCTGTTTACTTGAGGGCCGTCGTAAATAAACTTAAATTATGTGCATTTTATATCTAATAATTGCAGATATTAATGAAGTAAAAAGAGATGTTTTGAATCTGGAAGCAAAACTCGCATCTTTTAAATCGTATTTACAAAAGGAAATGGCAACTCTTAAAATTCGTTTTAGTGAAATTCAGTGTGAGGTATGTATGACCTGAGAATTTATTTGTAAAAAATAAAATTACTGATTTTTATTATGCCATGTACTCAAAAATCGTAACTGAATTTTCTAGTTACATAAAATATGTATCTACTGTTCGCGCCACTTTTGCATTACCGTCTAACGCTTATGTAATTCGTAACTTTTTATGTAATAATAGTATATACTGCAAATAGTCCATTTACCGGATTCCTATCTACCCCTTTTTATGCCTTTTAGCATGCACACTCTTCTGATCGGAGCTAGCAACAAGCAACCGCTTCTACCCCGCGAAAAAATCGCACCAACCTTTGTGTAGTTTAGATATTAAACAATAATAAAATATCATTAAGTGTAGAGACATTTACAGTAACGTCATATTTCGCGAATATCTGTAAAGACATGAGTGCGCATGCATTCTTTGTCCTTCCTGTAACTAAAATTTAGGGTATAATTTGCAGCATCGCGAATATAGTAAATCCTTCTCACCGCTCGCTCGCACCGCGCCTTATTCACTGTTTATTTTTATAGCCGCACCGCATAATAATATTTTTAATATATTTGATCCGGCAGTTGATCATGTAAAATAATACACCATGTACTAAATATCATATTTCGCAGTTAAAAGGTAAACGATTTAAAGAACATAAGAACTACAAGCCACATGAAAAAAACACAAAACAGTTCACAGAAATCGTCCCCAGTCCAGTTAGAGTTCTTATAAATTCTCCGTTCAAATGTCCTGTGAGTATCTATCTTTTTATTCATAATTTTATTAACTCTACTAAAATTGAGTTCTGTTAGTTTTTAGAGTAGGGTTAGGGTTCAATGTAACTTCTATACCTTTTACCTTCCGACCGCATTATGTCGCCTCTACACGTTGGCCAACACAGTGGCGAATGGAGTGGCGAATATATTGGCCGAGAGTTGGTGACGGCATCCATACGTTGGAAGGTCGTTCAGTTTACTTCGGTTCGGGCCAATGTGCGGACGAATTTATAAGCACCGTGGCTCAGTGGCTCAGCAATGAGTGGCTGCGCCGGGCGCCGCGGGTTTGATCCCGCACGGAACAGGTATTTGTATGTCCTACAAATAATTGTTTCGGGTCTGGATGTGTGTCCTTGTGCAATTTATGTTTGTAAACTGCCTGCGCGATACGGGAGAAAATCCTAGTGTGGGGTTAACGTTTTTATAAAAGAATTATAAAATAATAATGGTTATTAATGGGGCTGTAAATAGATATACGATATACGATTAACTTTATTTATTCTTTACATGCATCATAAACTGGAATAAATACCATTAATAAGAACTTAACTTATTTTAAAGTTAAAGGAGTTATAATCGATTAGTCTATGTTTTAAAATTGGGTTTTGATTTTAAAGTTTAGCAAAATATGTACTTGCATTTCTATCAGACATTTGATGTATATAAAAAACACCTTATAATTTATTTGGTAATTTAATTATTTTTTGAGAAAGACAAAAACAATAGCAATAAATATAATTAACACTGACTTAATATTAGGTACTAATTATAACTTTCTGAAAAAATGTGTCCATGTCTTCAGTTTCTGAAGAATCTTCTGATCTATAAGACCCAGTGCTGTCACTGTCAGAATACCATTTCTTGTTTTTCTTTGCTTTATTCTGATTTCGCTTCTTTTTCGTAGTTTTAGAGAACATAAATGAAAAACTCATGACAGCAAAGTGGCTCAGGACCATGCTTTGCGGCAGTCTGTGGAGGAGGATGTTCAGTAGTGGACTTGTGAACAGCTGTAATGATGATGATGATTCAAAATCTTGCACCATTAACACAGTTCACCTGATGGTAAGTGATTGCTGTGGCCCACAGACATCTACATTTATCCTCGATTACTAATCAAAATGCAGATGCGTTGTCACCCGTGAGGACTAAGATGAAATGCCTCGTTTCCTTTAAAAAGGGTCTCTGGTTCTCTACACTCACTAAACGAAACACAGCATCATTAAGCTACTATTTCACGCTGATATTCTGTGAGATCGTGGTCCTTCCCCGGTCGAGCCGACCTTCGTGCTGCAACTATACTTCTAATATAATTGCATGGTTCTACCACGTATAAACGACGTGCTTCATTTTTTTTCATTTTAAAATTGTTCTCGTAATAATCTGATTGTAAAAAAACGTTAATTTTTTTTGATAAATAGCTTATTGATTAAAACAAATGTTCAATAATAATTAAATCGCGCTAATTAAAGTAGTAGGAATGTTTAAAGTTGAAATTGGCACTAAAAGGCTGGTAATTGGGGCATCCACCCTACAAAGCTTAAATATAAAATTTAAATCAGATGCGTGTAATCACTCTGGGAGCTTGAAGCAAACTAAACGCGCGGTCAACGTGTGGACGCGGCGACCGAACTCAATCCTTTGATCTTTTGTAAAAAACCGACACCACACGGATCTCGCGCCAACTTGCGGGCCATCGTTCCAATACATACCAATGAAGCCCAAACACCCCGTCTACACGTTGGCCAATGCTATTGGCCAGTACATTCGCCACTGTGTTGGCCAACGTGTAGAGGCGCCGTTAGATAAATTTTGGAGAGTAGGTATTACAATCATTCGATTTTAATTTGAAGATAAGAAAATATTACAAGTATTATAAATATGTGTTTACATGCTTCCTTTATATATTTTTTTAATTCTTTGACACCAACTTTTATACGTGGTAGAGCCATGCTGCAGTTATATTAGTAGTATAGTTGTAGCACGAATGGGTCGGCGCGACTGGGGAAGGTCTACGCTCTCACAGAATACCAGCGTGAAATAGTAGCTTAATGCTGCTGTGTTTCGTATGGTCAGTGTAGAGAACAGGAGACCCTTTTTACTGAAAACGAGGCATTCCATCTTAGTCCTCACGGGTGACAACGCATCTGCATTTTGATTCGTAATCGAGGATAGATGTAGATGTCTATGGGCCGCAGCACCCACTTACCATCAGGTGGAGAGTGAGGGAATGGAGAGTGCACCTGTACTTGCGCATACACTCGAACACTATAACTCAGTCATGCGAAGATTGTTAAAGTCCATTGAAAGTGGCAACCGTGACCGGAATTCGGTCTGTACCTTCGATCAATGTATATTATTGATAGAAGGTCTGTACGACATTATTTATTTACGACACATTTTTTTATTATAAGTGTTTTAAGGATTTTATCACGTTTAATTTTAACTAATTCTTAATTCCCAGCTATATGTTTTGACGTGTCTTACGTAAAAACCAACGCTCCAATACTCTACTCCAAACTACAGTTTGCAAATATTATGTTCAGAATTCAGAATCTTGCCACTACATCAAATTTAACAAACTGCAAATCCTTGCAAAAGAACACCGACATTTTTGCCTGTGTCAAACGATGGCCAAGGCATCTGTTACCAGTTTACCTGAATGTTCGTTTTTAGTTTTTCCTCAGTCAAAAATATTGTGCAACTAAAAAAATGGTTATTTTTAGGAAGTGCAAAATTTTCAATCGTTTATAATGAACAGTCAACGTTATGGCGGATGGAACGAATATAACCACAACATTTTTGTTCAAATATGGAACAAGCATTTCCACAAGGATAACGTCGACGTTCTCATAAATGTATGTAACTCTGACGGAAACATTGATCGTTTCCAAAGCTTTAATGAGGATGTTTTACAAAAAATTCCAGGTATTTTTTCTTTTTATACAATAAAAAAGTCATATATATTTGGTACAGGTGGTACAGAGGCAGAATAAGATTTCTTGTTTATGAGAATATAACAAACTGTATAGCATCATACAAGTACAAAATAATGATTAGTACAAATCCACAATAATGTATACAAAGTGCAAATCTATATAAAAATACGCGCGATTTCTTTAACGGATAGTACGCGAGCGGTCCTCCCATACCCCTTAAAGCAGTGGTTCCCGGAACTGACTGAACAACAAAAAGTCTGTGTTTAATGATAGATGTTACACATAATCATACAGAAAACGACTTAATGAGTTAACACAGCTTATTTATTCGAATGTAATGGATGAGCTTGCATGGTTTCAACAAGGTTTCCGATTCTCGGCTTGACCACAGAAATCGCACAACGTAAAATGTTTCACTATCAATATTGAGTTTATTTCTATACTTAATTTATATTACCACAACCGCAGAAAATCCCCTTTCGCACAAATGTGTACTGGAAAAATAAATACAATCGAAGTGCTTTCTCTGATATTTTGGGATAAATTGCAAAATGTTTGACCCATTGAATTTCCAAGGCTTCCTCTTGAAGTGTTTCTGGCAGGTCATCTAAGTTAACATGGAATGGATCCGTCGCCAATCGATAAACATCATCATCAAAGTAAGGAGCTGCAAATAATTTGCTATTTTTCTCTTAGTTTCAGAATCTTCGAAAACCTTCATAATGCATTTTTCTTCCGAAATACTGCATAATTTGGGAAAACAAGAGTAATTTGATGGCTCTGATATAATATCTTGCGATCTAAAGTTGTAACTTTTCAGTAAAACTCTTGATGACATCTCGATGACAAATTATATTTGAATCTCTACCTTGAAGTTTCAAGTTTAAACAGTTTAACGAATCAAACATATCGAATAAATAGGCCAATACCACCTGGACACTTGGGCTCTTGAATTCGTAGTATTACAGTTCGCTATGGTTTTCTAAAAATAATTTAATTTCGTCGCGAAGTTTAAATAATCTTGCCGTCGTATGTTAATAACCTTTTAAAGAGCCAGTGCACTTCTGTGTGATATAATAATGTTTTATGCTCGGTGCCCAAAGCTTCACAAATCATTTTAAAAAGTCGAGTATTTAACGAACTCTTTTTTATAGAATTTACGATTTGATACATAGTTTTAACACGTCATTGAGCTCACTGGGCAGTGTTTTTGCCGCCAATGCTTGGTGGTGTATAAAACAGCGTATCGCTGTTATGTTGTTTTTTTTTTGTTTAGTCAATTGTATAAAACCTGAGCGAGATTCAAGCATTGCCGGAGCGTCATCTATGTAGACGGCTATCAATTTTTCCAACAAGAGCTCAAGTTTGGTGAAGAATTCACAAACTGCAGCCATCACATCAACTGCTCTTGTTGTTGTAATTAACTTTGTATTGTTTAACGTTGTTTCATTTTAAATGTATCGTACGAAAACTAACAATTGAGAGCATTGTGCAACATCTGTGCTCTCATCTAACTGTATTGCAAAAAAGGACGATTATTTCACGGCGTTTATAAATTGATTTTTTTTTAATTTCTTCAGCCATAGCGTCAATGCGCCGTTTTACAGTGTTGTTAGAAAGTGGAATTTGTTGCAATTTTTGCTTACTTTCTGGTCCAACAACGATTTTGGCTGCTTTCAATATACACGGTTTGACGAGTGTTTCTGGAATAATAATAATTTTTTTTCCTTTGCGATAAGCAGCGATAATTCATACGAAGCTTCAAGTATTTTTTGGTTTGACTCAGCAAAAGAACCAATACTGTCTAATTTCACGCGTTTTAAACTTCCCGATTTTACTGCAAAAAAACTTTCGGTTTGTGCTTTAAATCACTATGTTTAGTCAATAAATGTCGGTCTCGAAGCATCATTGCTCAAATGGATGATCGCCATAATTTTTACTTAGACAAACAAAACCGTATTTAATATAATTTTCATTATATTTGCGTTTTTTGTTGAGGTAAGGTTTTGTTGAAACAAAACGAAATTACGGTAGGAACCGAGACGCGATAGTAACTCAGTCTGACTGACTGTGAGTTATGCTTGCGCGGCAGCAAGAACAAAATTTATACGTGGTAGGGCCTCGCTGCAGCTATATTATGATTGTAGCATGAAAGGGTCGGCTCGACCGGCGAAGGACCACGCTCTCACAGAATGCCAGCGAAAGATAACAGCTTGATGCAGCTGTGTTTCGTATGGTGAGTGTAGAGAACCGGAGACCGGTTTTACTGCAATTGAGACATTCCATCTTAGTGCTCAGGGGTGACAACGCATCTGCATTTTGATTCTTAATCGAGGTTGAATGTAGATGTCTATGGGCCACAGGATCCACTTACCATCAGGTGGACAGTGTGCTCGTTTGTTACCCTAATTCTATAAAAAAAAGCGCGTGGGAGTTAACGCGACGCGGTGGAGGAACGCACGCATAAGCGAATCGTCCGTACTCTCCGATTAGTATACAGTTATCTATATACCAGTCAGAGCCACTTGAAAAGCCTTAGGGTATTTATAAGCATAGCTTGCTTATTTATACTCTTTGCGCCCTCCTTTCTGCCAAGGAGGGTCGCGTTCGTATACGGCTTAGAGATCTCTAGTCAGATCGTTAAGCCAATTCCTAAAAGGTTGAGTTTAGTGGGTAAAAGTCTCCACATAACCACGCAGCCGGCTGCGTGATATGCTATGAGCATTCTCAACCTCCCTCCCCCGGCTTTCCGGAGACGGCAAAAAAAAATTATACTCTAAGAGTCCCTTATAAAATATAAAATTTATATATTTATAAACTAAAAAATTCATCAGAGTCGTTCCATACCATAATATATCATTTTAATTTACCTCAGATGTTATTTTCATGTTCTTTGTATACAGTTTTTTTTGTTTACAGATATAACCTTGAATGATATTATATCGCATAATAAATGGTATTCAGAATATGTATATTTAAAAAATTGTCAGCAAAAGGCGCTTGAGAAGTGGAAGGATAATAAAACAAAAATTAAGAAATCCCGTCAACAGCAATACGTATGATTATTATACATTGTTTTTTTTTGTGTGTATATTCACGAGCTTTGTTACAGCCTATCAATAATAATAATAACGTCCTCCAGACCAAATTTCGACCACGGTGGCCTGCCTCAGCGGAGGCTAGCCATCGGCGTAAGACAGGATTATAGTGCCCAAGTGTATGCGCAACCACAGATGCACTCTCTATTCCCTCACTCTCATAATCCGATGGGACGTTAAACCGACACGACCGGAGAGAGATCGGGCGCAGGACCAACGTCTTTACGTGCTTTCCGAGGCACGGGGGTGAGACACCGCCAACTTCCTGACTCCGGGCAACTACTGAGAATTTCTTGACGGAAAAACTCAATAATTAGTTTTTTTGGCCCGACCCGGGATTCGAACCCAGGACCTCATGATCAGCAGTCTTACTACTACAACCACTAGATCAACGAGGTATATACTATATAGTGGATATTCTTACACCGCCACTACACGGTTTACTATCTAATGATGTTAAATTTACCCATTCCTCTGGGGATGATGATGTCCTTTAAACTCCAAGTAGATTAATAGTTAAAACGATTACTCCCAAATAGTCAGAAGTTATCAAATACTCAAAAGATACTATACCCATATCTAGATTTCATTACAGCCCTTCACAAGTCCACTGCTGAACATAGGCCTACTCCAAGGAATGCCGCAATGCTTGGGCCTGAGCCACGTAACAACGAACCTGTAGGTGTAGCCTTCCTTGTTTTAAACCATTTGCAGATGCCCATCTGCTGTAGTGGCCGCAGAGATTACCTGTCATGAGAGGACGGTTAGCTCGATTGACACTACTATAAAATTTAAAAAATGCAATTTTCATAATCCTCAATACTCAATATTGGTCTGTTTCTTTTGCAGGCAAAACATGAGCTACAGTCAAACAGATTATCAATGTTATCTGGTACTGCAAAAAGCTTAATTAAGAAACAGGCTGATGATAAAGGTACCTAATAAACCTACCTAATAATAATATTTTACATACTTAATTTTTTTTTACATACAAAAAGAGCAACGGCAACTGTTTGAACTAGACTTGTAACGAATATTCGGCTATTGTTCGGTATTCGGTCTATTCGGCTACTTTTATTCTATTTGGTCGAATACCGAATATCTAGGTAATATTCGGCCGAATACAGAATACTTAAGTAGGATGTTTTATTGTAGTCAGATAATTGTTAGAATGAAAATATTTATTTATTTTATAATTAATTTTTTTCTTGTAATCATTAGTGTAGTTGTAAGTACACAGTCAACTCCCATATTATACAAATTAGAAAAAGACTTATCAGATAAATGTATATGCACTCGAGTTATCGTAATTAAAGTGAAAGATAATAGTGCCGAAATACTATTTTTTCTTCATTTTCAGGCAGTAGCTTACTCTAACTTACCTTAAAAATGTTCAAACACACTCCTTCACAATTTGGTATTTGATCGACATCTTGGAAATTTGGCGGACTAACCGTATAAACATATCGACAAATGGCGCCTATCTTTAATGTTTAATGGCCATTGAAACGAGATGGCACGACCAGTTTCTGTGAAACCCTCCTATTCCAAAATGCCTACAGTATTCCAAATTACCTTTCTTTCCTCTAAGTCGTCCTTCGTTGCAGGTCTACTTTGAACGGGTTCCAAGTTGGAGTGACTGGCTAGAAGAATGTAGAACGTTATTGGATCCATTATCTTTTAATATATATAATATTTCTTTGTTCTTATTTTATGCGCTACCATACCGTTCATCAGATTGCGGTAAAACGTTGTCATTGTATTGTTTGCACTTCCGCGAAGGTTATAGGCATAATTGGACCCGTGCGAAACCGAGGCAGGTCGCTAGTTTGTAATATTTTTTTATTGTGTATTATTTACTTGGCAAGTTTTAATAGAGATATTTAATTCGCAACATGGTTTCTTGAAGAAACACTCCACCACATCTAATCTTGCCTGTTTCACTGAGTACGTTTTTAATAATTTTTTAAGGATTAGGGTGAAAAATGAGCACTAAGTCCATCCGTTTTGATAAATAAATAAAAAAACATTTAAACCGAGGAGTAAATCCCACATCAATTTGTTGGTAAGTCTTAATATCTAAGTATGTATTAGTAAACCTAAAATTGCTTAGAATATCATTATTTTATTAAGTATATCACTAATTTATAAAGGTATTTCAATCTGTTTTAATTTCCAATGTTTTATATATTATTTATTTTTTATAGGATAGGGTGACAAACGAGCACACAGTCCACCTGATGGTAAGTGGTTGCTGTGGCCCATAGACATCTACATCTATCCTCGATTACGAATCAAAATACAGATGCGTTGTCACCCGTCAAGACTAAGATGGAACGCCTCATTTTCAGTAAAAAGGGTCTCCGGTTCTCTACACTCACCATACGAAACACAGCAGCTGGTATTCTGTGAGAACGTGGTTCTTCCCCGGTCGAGCCGATCCATTAGTGCTACAACTATACTACTAATATAACTGCAGCTTGGCTCTAGCGCGTAGAATATAATTGTATATTAAAATTTAGTTTAAATTACTTTATTAAATTAAATTTAAGTAATTCGTTTTGTTATGTAACGTCCACGTCACCTATGCCGGTAGTTGTTGGGAGCATTGACCTCGAAGTTGTTGACGAGTACGTTTACCTGGGACAAATAGTTCGACAAGGAAGTCTTTTACTTTTTTTGAGACTTTCCGGGGATAAGTCTTAGTTGGTATGGTAGTATGTTTGTGATTCGAGAGGTCCCAGGTTAGATCTTAAATCTCCATTGCCTGCTCGTGCGATCGGTAGAAACCGGCTACGACCACGCACCAAACTGCCATACGTGCACGGACTAATATACTACCTACTGTTTGTTGCAGATGGCTCTAATCGCGTCGATAGAAACTTTCCTGACAATTCTAATAGGTAAAAATAAAGAAATATTTATATGTATCCATATACCTAATCATTGGTACGTCTTAAGTGATTTAAAATGACACTTGTTACGAGTATACTGTTTCGTCTTCGGTGTAACTTCTGAATGTCTTAAGTTCTAACACATTATCGAATGAATCCATGGTTCTTGTATAATATTCTAAAACCGATAGCTGGCGTAGTAGTTATTAAAAAAATCTTTATCTAACGACCAAAATTAATCGTCATCATCATCATCATCATTACAGCCCTTCACAACTCCACTGCTGAACATAGGCCTCCCCCAAGTAATGCCACAAAGCACAGTCCTGACCCACCTGCATCCATCGACTTCCTGCATGTTTTACCAGGTCGTCACTCCATCTAGTGGGGGGTCGCCCTACACTACGCCTACCGGTACGAGGCTGCCACACGAGAACCTTTCTAGAAAGGTTCTCGACCAAAATTAATAAAATCACCAAATCTGGACCATGATAAGTGGCGCTGTAGTCGAGTTATTAATTAATTATATTATTAATAAAATTTAAAAACTCCGGAGTGTACTCGGATTGGAACTCATTGCGCCACCTATCGAAAACAGGTAACAAAGTTGTTAATCTTAATTTTACATTAATAATATCTACCTATATTATGTTTAAGCGGAAGCACTGGAAAATGTAACAGTGAGGAAATTGCTGCCAATATCAAAAAAATTACAAATAATTCCATCAAAATGCTATACACATCAAAAAAGTGTTCAAGAACCACAAAACCCACTGAACACCGAACGAATAAAGGTGACGGTAAAAAGGAAGATATACTGATCCTTGCAAATGTTCAGGGAAGAAGACAACTGTAAGCAATTTTATTTTAATTTTATGTATCTTATACAAGTATTTGCTTTTAACTTAACAATATACTGTATTTTTAAGTAACTCACATGAGTAACTAACAGATACGTATTTTATAACGTATTTTTAAGTAACTCACATGAGTAACTAACAGATACAAAACCAGTGAATAAAGAATAAAAATAAACTTTTGATAAAAAATAGACTAGCGATAAATAGTATAATCGGCCACACGCCGAATGCCGAATATTTTCTTTCTTCCTGGTCCAAAAGTCGAATATTAGGCAAATGAATTCTGCCGAGAAGGAAGTCTCTTCATACTAATAGGCAGAGAGGATCGATCGCCAAGAGACCGATCCTGACGTACCACTTTCTATTATTTTTAATTAGTAGTTATTGTGCCTTCGGTATATATATATATATATATATATATATATATATATATATATATATATATATATATATATATATATATATATATATAGAAAAGAGAGAGAGAGAGAGAGAGAGAAAGACTAATTAAGATAGATAGGGAACTATGGCCATTTATGTACTAATACCTACTTTAAACACCTATTTTAATTTAAAAAACATACAGTCAAATTGAACCTCCTCCTTCTTTAAAGTCGAGATACTCAACCCATACCTAACCAACTGATGTATAACTTGTTTGTATCACTTTTTATTTTACAGGCGAATTCCAACTTGGCGCTTAGGTTTATATGAAAATAAAATCTAATATTATATTCCATGTGTGTATTAATTAATCCCTTCCCGCGTGGAAAGAGGCTCCACACAGACCAACGCCGTGTGCGGCGAGCGTCAACCCAAACACAGCGCTCCCGACCATATTCATGCACCATAGGCTTTTGCAGTAAGACAAGGAGTTGAGGGCGCTTGTTGAACTAAAAGGTACTTCCAAGTAAACTCTCCCTAATCCGAAATCTAAACGAAATATTATGGTATTGCTCAACACACTAAAATGCCGCTCACGATGTCCACGAGCAAACCATATTGCTACAACAAACCCGCTCACCACCGGCACTAAAAACTTGTCCAGTGTAAGTCCAATGTGTCCTATATAAAGCTTTTACTTAACCTGAGACATAGTAAAAACAGAATAGTAATCTATCTTCTAAGAAATGTATCTAAAATGTGTGCGTGCCTGGCACGTGACAGTACGGACTCGTACGCACGAACCACAGCACTCACACCACGGCACTTGCTCGTGAAGTCGGGAAGATCGGACCGAATCGGTGCCACTCACCGCCGCGCTTCGCAATCACCTTTGTTGACTTTTAATACAATTTTGATAGCAGTCTTTTCGTTTTATTTTCTATTTTTGTAAAATAAATTAAAATAATGGATTTTATTGACAAACGATGATTTTTTTAGAGGAAACTAAAGAAATGATTAACAAATATGGTGCATGTTTACAAACATAATACATACGTATCCGTATGTATTATGTTTGTAAATATTATAACTGATTATGGCTAATAACTACTTAAGTCTCGCGCGACACGGGAGTTATCCTACTATCCTGTTTTTACTATGCCTGAGACCTTCATATTATATTGTTTACACTAAATATATCTCAGGAAATTTATAGGTATTAATAATATATTTTTTGTTGACCAAAACAGATATTTTTGAAATACCTAATATTTTTTACAAATAAATAAAGATAACCATGAAAGAAAAATTTAACACTTTAATTCCGCTGCATCAATGTCTGTGTAGTAATCAACGTCGTCATCATCATCAGCACCACAGAACACTAATACCCACTAATACCCTTATCAGCACACAGTACCATAGAGTTGAGTAATACATACACAGCACCCTGACATCGAAATAATGGCGTACTTTTTGTTTTATGACAAAATGTTGCCAACAATGAAAATAGAAAAAAGAAGTAGTTATATTAAATTATTATTATAACTAATTATGACTTCAATAAACTTGACAATACTAAGTATAATATAATATTTAAATAAATATAAAAGAGAAAAATTTATTTTCTTTGCAGGCTGTACTTTCCAAGTTATAGTTGACTGGTCACGGTCATTCGAAGACGTTGACGTTCCTATTCTTATTTGAATCGTATAATAGATGGACTTTACTTGGAGTCATGCATGCATGCATATTATGGTTGTAACACGAATGGGCCGACTTGATAGGGGAAGGGCTAACGGTC